TGGCCGCTGCAGGTGTTTTTTTTTTTTTGCGGCCACCTAAATTAGGACCCGGAGACTGCCAGATGACCCCGCTCGGAGCGCCGCCCACCGGAGCAGCAGTGACGCAACGCTCGGCGAGGTAAGTAAGAAGAAACCTGACCAGCTCAAGACGCTGACTCGAGTATAAGCCGAGGGGGGCACTTTTCAGCAAAAAAAATGGGCTGAAAAACTCGGCTTATACTCGAGTATATACGGTACGTGTAGATTAGATAATGTGCTACTAAAAATGGTGTCTTCAACTGATATTATAAGATTCATTAATGGAATTGACCAATGCCGTTAATTCATTTGTTTTTATTACCCAAGGAAATTTCCTCCCCACTATGAGGGTAAAATGGGACCTGCATGTTTTGTCTTCCTCTGGATCCCCAGATGGAGGTTATCCTTGTGGGGCTTTGGCCATTGCGTATACCCAAATATACTGCAACTCAGATAGCTTGGAAGCAAAAGTTGCACCATCTGTAAACATATCTACCTACCACCCATGGTGGTCATGCTGGTACTATAGCCAGGAGTAGCCACTGACACCATGAAAGCATGCAATTGTATCCCTTAAAATCTAATCCAAAAAACAAGAAAATCTTATGACTGGTTGCAAATATATCATTAGACAAATATGTAGAATGTTGAATCATGTGAAGGCAATGTACTCCTTCTCTCCAAATCAAATATACTATATGTGCTTCCACCAATATTTTGTATATAGCATTTTCTGTTATTTCTTCCATAGAAACAGTAGGCCTCCATTAAAGTTTCAGTGTTAGCATCTGGAATAGTGCTGGATGTATGCAGGATGAAACTATTACATACATGGTAATTTCTTCTGAATCTTCAGGTCAAACCGGCAGTTTTCCTGAGGGGGGCTAATGATGTTATAGACGGTCCTCACCTGCAAGATGCAAATGGTGGCTGTTATTTGTGACCTGGGCACATACAAAAGATGATTATTTCTTCATCCAGGAAACAGATAAGACACATAGCCTGGTATACACAGACAGCTCTTTATACACAGGTATTTCTGGGGAATTCTAATAATTTTAATGACTAACTGATGTCTTATATGAAGTCTAGTGCTCAGAGCTCTGTGCCATCCAAGCAGAGGAGGTGGCTGTCTGTTCCTGGACATACGTATGGGCACCATCTTGGCAATTTTTTTGAGGTAGGTCACCAGGTCTTTTCTCAATCCTTCCATGCACACAAGAATGAAACTGGCATGCAGAATGTGATAACACATGTGCATAGCCAATCTGTACACACATACTAGGGCAATTAACCTACCAGCATGTTTTTTGAGTGTGGAAGGAAACCCACACAAGCACAGGGAAAACATCCACACTCCACTCAGATAGTGTTCTGGCTGAGATACATACCAAGGACCTCAGTACTGCAAGAACCGCTTCGCTTATCCAATCGCTTATATGGTGCTGGGGAAGTGTGCGCCCCCCCGCCAGAGTTTTTAGGGCCATGAATCACTGTTGACACTGAACTGATGAGCAGTAAAAACTTTAAAACAATAGAAATTGCGCATGCAATTATAGGGCTTGACATGTTTGGTATCTATTTTACCGACGTGACCAAAGAAATGTAGCACAACACATTTTGACCTACATGTTTGAAGAAAGATTATTTATTTGCAACCAATCACACACAAAAAATACACTGCTCACATCCACTTCCACAGTCCGAGGATCTCATCTGCTTGTTGGGTGCTGGCTCCAAGAGCTCACCACAACCGGACAGGCATTGAATCCAAGTGTAAAAAGAGAAGCTGCACACCAGAAATAAATCTTCCATACACTGTTTAATACAGGGTGTTAATACAGTATGTACATACATTTCCTGTAGCAATACCATAGGCGCTCCTTGTACTGATAATCAGATCTTCTAGAATGGGAACCTGTAGGGAAGGTAAAAACATCCATTATATAGATGACAGTCCACTAACAGAGAGGAAACAGTCACATGGCTATTCTGTGGGAGGGTAGAGCTGCTGAACCATCATGGCCACCAGCTCTGCCTTTCTGCCATAATCCCCCGTTAATTGAACTTGGCACTGTATAGTCACATGACTATACCGCAAGAGGATGAAGCTGCTGAACTGTCATGGCCTACCTCAACAGGTTTTGTGAATGGATTCCTTTCGGTCAACCGGTAGTTCTTGAACTCCCCGGCTCTTCTGTAGGAGACTGTCACATCCATGTTTAAGTTGAGCTTCTTCTCCAAGATGCCAACCTCTGTCAGCGCTTCTAGGGCCATGACAGTATCCTGAATAAAGTAGAATAGGTATTACTTGGTGGCACTCAGTGTCACATACTATGTATACAGAACGTTTGCACTTCTCATGTAAATATAGGTCCTCTTTTGCACTTTTCTCCTTGTGCTGCCCTGAATATGCCCAGTGGTATCCATCTGCTGATGGTCTCTCCACCCCTAGTAAAAATCATCAAGCAACTGTTTGGTGATTCAATGACGTTCATACCTGTGTTGAAAAGAATCCTCCGCCGTACCGCTGCTGCTCCTTCAGCCAACGTGCAACCGGTTTGGCATATTCATAATCACCGGATTTCAGTATAGCCAGCAGAGTGTAAGCTGTCGTCTCCACCATCATTGCTGTTTCCACACTAGGTGTGACCTGGTCAAATTTGTTCAGCGTATCCTTCCAATATCGATAGGCTGGTGGAAAACCTACAAATGAGAAACATAAGATCATCTACTGAACAAGATTGAAAATGATTTCAAGACACATCGAGTGGGCCATGGATTCCCACTTCACTCCCTTTATGCTCAGAGGGATTGTTAAATGGTCTCAAATGAATGGCGTTTCATTATAAAGTGGATTCACGTGAAGGAGTTAGCAATACCGGTAGTTCTCGGTGATGCATAGAAAGAGTTTTTATTTAAAAAAGGACATATTAAATATAAAGTGGAAAATTTTGAATAGACATCTGGTTTCCTGTCTGGATCCCATGGCGGAATACTACCACCACAAGACTTCCTTTAACCTAAAATGGCAAATGTAGTAGCAGGCAGTGCAATCAGCATCTGTGCTGTGGAAAATCAATTACAGAACAAAGCAGTTAGAGTACCTTCCTTTGAGTGACATTTTATTGGCAGAGCCCTGGCTCTGACAGATTATTTTGACATAATAACATTTGATTTGTTGTTTCTTTCTCACACCTAATAAACTTTTTTAATGGAAGAAAAAATAAATGTTCCCTGTGAGCATGCTTTCCCATTCTCTTAACACCTGTGTAGAGGAGCTCTGACCAAGACACACATAGTAATACTGATGATGAGGGTAACATTAACTTACTGATTCCTTTGGTGAGTGCCTCCCCTTTTATTTTCGCAATTGTTTGGTGTTTACTCTGTAGCGTTGACTCTGAAATATGGAGAGCATATGCACAGACTGCCATTGTGTACATGGTCTGTGCGCTGGAGGCCTGTCTGGAGACGTAGTCTATGGCGAGTTCCAGTGCGTTGCTTATTTGCTGGGATTCAACAAAATAAGTAATTACACACATAGTAAAGAAACACAGACACTTTCAAAAAAACAACTACAAAAGTGTATAATAATAAGTACTTCAATATGGCAGTTGGGGGTTAAAAGGACCACTAAAGCTAAATTAAAGTGTATCTCCATCCAAACCCTTTTTTGATGGAGTGTAGAAGGGTTAATCTACAGTTGTGACTGGAAGTATATAGGGATATCTTCTAAGGGGGTACATGTTCAAGTGACTACTATCAATGGAGGGGCTTACCCTCACTTTTGAAAGATTACTTTATCTCTGTAAAGAGAACTCTTGATGTGAAGGGGAGCTTGTGATGTCAAGAGTGCACTCTGATGTCAAAGTAGGGGGGTCTTATGTGTAGTAGGGCTTCTAGTGTGAGAGGGGGACTCTGATGTGAAAGGAAGGGATTCCTGATGTAAAGGTGGACTCTGATATAAAAGACAGGATTGTAATGTGAAATGGGGGCTCTGATGTGAAGGGGGCTTCTGATTTGCTTGCCCCCCTTAAAATCTATACCAGATCCCTATCTGGGATAAGGGTCTGGTATGGATTTTGGACAGACCACACATCCTTTTTTACAGTTACATTTAAGTTTTTAACATTTTTGAGATTTCGCATACTTTTAAAGGGTGCAGTGACTGGAAAAAAAGCAAAGAAACATTAAGCTATTACATCTTTTATGCTTAGCTGCCCGTCAAATAGGAGAGATTGTCGCTAGTCTCTTTGTGATCCTCTGGTGTGGACTTACATTGAGTGGACACATGTGGAGCGATTTCTGTATTGCAATTATGACATATGCTGTCAGATACAGAGTCTTCTCAGCTGCCTCTCTGGGAATTGTGCCCTGAAATACAAGCGGTAGAGAAAATAACTGCTACAAGTCCTTATTTATGTATAAGATGGGTAGATCAGACAGATATAGGAAGACAAATAGGTAGTAAGATAATGAGAAAATGAGATAGATAGATAGATAGATAGATAGATAGATAGATAGATAGATAGATAGATAGATAGATAGATAGATAGATAGATAGATCGATAGATCGATAGATTATTTCTGAGTTTATGAGACATCTGCAATTATTCTACAGCTTTCTGTCACTCTTCCCCTGTGTAGTGAAGGATTTATTGCGGGTGTTTTGTCACCTGTAGTTTGACAAGGTTTGTTGAGGACTTTTCCTGGAAGGATCCATCTCTGGATTGGCATTTCTCAATCAGCCAGATGAGACTGTTACACACAGACATATGATCCAGGGATACGTATTTCTGAATTTCTCCAAAGGTGCGCAGAGCAAAGGCTGTTAACCTGGAACAAAAATAGAGTGTGATCACAGCCCTTGTTATAAGAATCCTTTTGTCAACAAGAGAGTGCTTGAACATGCAACATTTCACAAACTAGATAATGTACCGTAACATGTTTGTTCCGAGTCTGTCAGTGTCTGAATTAATGATACAAAATGGCCGCTGCAGGTGTTTTTTTTTTTTTGCGGCCACCTAAATTAGGACCCGGAGACTGCCAGATGACCCCGCTCGGAGCGCCGCCCACCGGAGCAGCAGTGACGCAACGCTCGGCGAGGTAAGTAAGAAGAAACCTGACCAGCTCAAGACGCTGACTCGAGTATAAGCCGAGGGGGGCACTTTTCAGCAAAAAAAATGGGCTGAAAAACTCGGCTTATACTCGAGTATATACGGTACGTGTAGATTAGATAATGTGCTACTAAAAATGGTGTCTTCAACTGATATTATAAGATTCATTAATGGAATTGACCAATGCCGTTAATTCATTTGTTTTTATTACCCAAGGAAATTTCCTCCCCACTATGAGGGTAAAATGGGACCTGCATGTTTTGTCTTCCTCTGGATCCCCAGATGGAGGTTATCCTTGTGGGGCTTTGGCCATTGCGTATACCCAAATATACTGCAACTCAGATAGCTTGGAAGCAAAAGTTGCACCATCTGTAAACATATCTACCTACCACCCATGGTGGTCATGCTGGTACTATAGCCAGGAGTAGCCACTGACACCATGAAAGCATGCAATTGTATCCCTTAAAATCTAATCCAAAAAACAAGAAAATCTTATGACTGGTTGCAAATATATCATTAGACAAATATGTAGAATGTTGAATCATGTGAAGGCAATGTACTCCTTCTCTCCAAATCAAATATACTATATGTGCTTCCACCAATATTTTGTATATAGCATTTTCTGTTATTTCTTCCATAGAAACAGTAGGCCTCCATTAAAGTTTCAGTGTTAGCATCTGGAATAGTGCTGGATGTATGCAGGATGAAACTATTACATACATGGTAATTTCTTCTGAATCTTCAGGTCAAACCGGCAGTTTTCCTGAGGGGGGCTAATGATGTTATAGACGGTCCTCACCTGCAAGATGCAAATGGTGGCTGTTATTTGTGACCTGGGCACATACAAAAGATGATTATTTCTTCATCCAGGAAACAGATAAGACACATAGCCTGGTATACACAGACAGCTCTTTATACACAGGTATTTCTGGGGAATTCTAATAATTTTAATGACTAACTGATGTCTTATATGAAGTCTAGTGCTCAGAGCTCTGTGCCATCCAAGCAGAGGAGGTGGCTGTCTGTTCCTGGACATACGTATGGGCACCATCTTGGCAATTTTTTTGAGGTAGGTCACCAGGTCTTTTCTCAATCCTTCCATGCACACAAGAATGAAACTGGCATGCAGAATGTGATAACACATGTGCATAGCCAATCTGTACACACATACTAGGGCAATTAACCTACCAGCATGTTTTTTGAGTGTGGAAGGAAACCCACACAAGCACAGGGAAAACATCCACACTCCACTCAGATAGTGTTCTGGCTGAGATACATACCAAGGACCTCAGTACTGCAAGAACCGCTTCGCTTATCCAATCGCTTATATGGTGCTGGGGAAGTGTGCGCCCCCCCGCCAGAGTTTTTAGGGCCATGAATCACTGTTGACACTGAACTGATGAGCAGTAAAAACTTTAAAACAATAGAAATTGCGCATGCAATTATAGGGCTTGACATGTTTGGTATCTATTTTACCGACGTGACCAAAGAAATGTAGCACAACACATTTTGACCTACATGTTTGAAGAAAGATTATTTATTTGCAACCAATCACACACAAAAAATACACTGCTCACATCCACTTCCACAGTCCGAGGATCTCATCTGCTTGTTGGGTGCTGGCTCCAAGAGCTCACCACAACCGGACAGGCATTGAATCCAAGTGTAAAAAGAGAAGCTGCACACCAGAAATAAATCTTCCATACACTGTTTAATACAGGGTGTTAATACAGTATGTACATACATTTCCTGTAGCAATACCATAGGCGCTCCTTGTACTGATAATCAGATCTTCTAGAATGGGAACCTGTAGGGAAGGTAAAAACATCCATTATATAGATGACAGTCCACTAACAGAGAGGAAACAGTCACATGGCTATTCTGTGGGAGGGTAGAGCTGCTGAACCATCATGGCCACCAGCTCTGCCTTTCTGCCATAATCCCCCGTTAATTGAACTTGGCACTGTATAGTCACATGACTATACCGCAAGAGGATGAAGCTGCTGAACTGTCATGGCCTACCTCAACAGGTTTTGTGAATGGATTCCTTTCGGTCAACCGGTAGTTCTTGAACTCCCCGGCTCTTCTGTAGGAGACTGTCACATCCATGTTTAAGTTGAGCTTCTTCTCCAAGATGCCAACCTCTGTCAGCGCTTCTAGGGCCATGACAGTATCCTGAATAAAGTAGAATAGGTATTACTTGGTGGCACTCAGTGTCACATACTATGTATACAGAACGTTTGCACTTCTCATGTAAATATAGGTCCTCTTTTGCACTTTTCTCCTTGTGCTGCCCTGAATATGCCCAGTGGTATCCATCTGCTGATGGTCTCTCCACCCCTAGTAAAAATCATCAAGCAACTGTTTGGTGATTCAATGACGTTCATACCTGTGTTGAAAAGAATCCTCCGCCGTACCGCTGCTGCTCCTTCAGCCAACGTGCAACCGGTTTGGCATATTCATAATCACCGGATTTCAGTATAGCCAGCAGAGTGTAAGCTGTCGTCTCCACCATCATTGCTGTTTCCACACTAGGTGTGACCTGGTCAAATTTGTTCAGCGTATCCTTCCAATATCGATAGGCTGGTGGAAAACCTACAAATGAGAAACATAAGATCATCTACTGAACAAGATTGAAAATGATTTCAAGACACATCGAGTGGGCCATGGATTCCCACTTCACTCCCTTTATGCTCAGAGGGATTGTTAAATGGTCTCAAATGAATGGCGTTTCATTATAAAGTGGATTCACGTGAAGGAGTTAGCAATACCGGTAGTTCTCGGTGATGCATAGAAAGAGTTTTTATTTAAAAAAGGACATATTAAATATAAAGTGGAAAATTTTGAATAGACATCTGGTTTCCTGTCTGGATCCCATGGCGGAATACTACCACCACAAGACTTCCTTTAACCTAAAATGGCAAATGTAGTAGCAGGCAGTGCAATCAGCATCTGTGCTGTGGAAAATCAATTACAGAACAAAGCAGTTAGAGTACCTTCCTTTGAGTGACATTTTATTGGCAGAGCCCTGGCTCTGACAGATTATTTTGACATAATAACATTTGATTTGTTGTTTCTTTCTCACACCTAATAAACTTTTTTAATGGAAGAAAAAATAAATGTTCCCTGTGAGCATGCTTTCCCATTCTCTTAACACCTGTGTAGAGGAGCTCTGACCAAGACACACATAGTAATACTGATGATGAGGGTAACATTAACTTACTGATTCCTTTGGTGAGTGCCTCCCCTTTTATTTTCGCAATTGTTTGGTGTTTACTCTGTAGCGTTGACTCTGAAATATGGAGAGCATATGCACAGACTGCCATTGTGTACATGGTCTGTGCGCTGGAGGCCTGTCTGGAGACGTAGTCTATGGCGAGTTCCAGTGCGTTGCTTATTTGCTGGGATTCAACAAAATAAGTAATTACACACATAGTAAAGAAACACAGACACTTTCAAAAAAACAACTACAAAAGTGTATAATAATAAGTACTTCAATATGGCAGTTGGGGGTTAAAAGGACCACTAAAGCTAAATTAAAGTGTATCTCCATCCAAACCCTTTTTTGATGGAGTGTAGAAGGGTTAATCTACAGTTGTGACTGGAAGTATATAGGGATATCTTCTAAGGGGGTACATGTTCAAGTGACTACTATCAATGGAGGGGCTTACCCTCACTTTTGAAAGATTACTTTATCTCTGTAAAGAGAACTCTTGATGTGAAGGGGAGCTTGTGATGTCAAGAGTGCACTCTGATGTCAAAGTAGGGGGGTCTTATGTGTAGTAGGGCTTCTAGTGTGAGAGGGGGACTCTGATGTGAAAGGAAGGGATTCCTGATGTAAAGGTGGACTCTGATATAAAAGACAGGATTGTAATGTGAAATGGGGGCTCTGATGTGAAGGGGGCTTCTGATTTGCTTGCCCCCCTTAAAATCTATACCAGATCCCTATCTGGGATAAGGGTCTGGTATGGATTTTGGACAGACCACACATCCTTTTTTACAGTTACATTTAAGTTTTTAACATTTTTGAGATTTCGCATACTTTTAAAGGGTGCAGTGACTGGAAAAAAAGCAAAGAAACATTAAGCTATTACATCTTTTATGCTTAGCTGCCCGTCAAATAGGAGAGATTGTCGCTAGTCTCTTTGTGATCCTCTGGTGTGGACTTACATTGAGTGGACACATGTGGAGCGATTTCTGTATTGCAATTATGACATATGCTGTCAGATACAGAGTCTTCTCAGCTGCCTCTCTGGGAATTGTGCCCTGAAATACAAGCGGTAGAGAAAATAACTGCTACAAGTCCTTATTTATGTATAAGATGGGTAGATCAGACAGATATAGGAAGACAAATAGGTAGTAAGATAATGAGAAAATGAGATAGATAGATAGATAGATAGATAGATAGATAGATAGATAGATAGATAGATAGATAGATAGATAGATAGATAGATAGATCGATAGATCGATAGATTATTTCTGAGTTTATGAGACATCTGCAATTATTCTACAGCTTTCTGTCACTCTTCCCCTGTGTAGTGAAGGATTTATTGCGGGTGTTTTGTCACCTGTAGTTTGACAAGGTTTGTTGAGGACTTTTCCTGGAAGGATCCATCTCTGGATTGGCATTTCTCAATCAGCCAGATGAGACTGTTACACACAGACATATGATCCAGGGATACGTATTTCTGAATTTCTCCAAAGGTGCGCAGAGCAAAGGCTGTTAACCTGGAACAAAAATAGAGTGTGATCACAGCCCTTGTTATAAGAATCCTTTTGTCAACAAGAGAGTGCTTGAACATGCAACATTTCACAAACTAGATAATGTACCGTAACATGTTTGTTCCGAGTCTGTCAGTGTCTGAATTAATGATACAAATGTAATATTTTTTCAGATTGCATGTCACTATTTTAAATAATAATCTCGTGTGTCCAGAGTTCCTGCTGATCAGAGCAGTTCAGAACAGATGTCACCGCTGTTTTTGTCATCCTGTTTTTCTTTCATCTTACGAAGGAGGAAAAAACCTGAATTTACTGGTTCTATGTTAGCTTTATGTGGAGTCGGATGTAAACAGGGCCGGATTTCCCACGCCGCCCCAAGGCCTGGCCTTGGGGCGGCAGGGAGTAGAGGGGCGGCAGTTTTTTTCCTACATTTAACACTGCTTTGGGTATGCAGGGCTAAATGTAGAGCGGGGAAGCTGCCACTCGTTTAGTACAAGTGATCCCGGCGATCACATTCTAATATGCCTGCAGGTCTGTGATGTGGCTGCAATAGATTATACTGGGATTGAGGTAAACTAGGTTGAATGTTGGACCACTTGGTGTCCAGATCTTTGTGTGCTCGGTACATGAGAAACTAGATAGAACAGTGGCAATTATTCACTATTTTCTTCTTATGTTTTTAGGTTTATTTGCGCATTAGCATTTTTTGTAGTAAAAAAAATCATAACATCCCTATCCCATACCAGGTGCTAGGGTCGCTGTCTCTCCGCAAGCTGTAGGAATGGTCCCCATTGCGGAAGGCGAGTATGCTGGAAACTCCTGGAAGGAAGAAATGATTATGGCATGGATATGGAAGACAAGTACCAGGGAACTCACAACACAGCGATGAGTGCAATTACCATCCTTTAGCTTCTTCTGCATTTCTATCTGAATCATGAAGGTGTTAGGGCCCAGCAGGCTCCACTCATTCTTGGTGTCCAGATAATGATAAACGTAGAAGATAGGCGCCACTCTCATCAGTTCCGTCTCTGCGCTGCCTTTCGGAAGGTTGACCAGAGTCTGTATGCTATTCCCACTCACAATCATGTCTATCACCTCTCCCAGTATGTTTCCTGTAGTCCATGACAAGAACGAAAGGAGGATGTATCACACTTTTTTGTTAAAGTCCAACTCCAGGTACATTTTGCAAGGGTGAGATTCTTGGTCAGGTTTTACATGCTCTTTGTGTCTCCTTTGTGAAGATTTCCTCTTATTCCTTTTCTTGGTGACTCCTAACCACATCCTCATACACAGGGTGTCAATGGGACACTGAAGTGAAAGGAAATCTCAACAAACAGGCACAGACAGCAACAAAAACATTTGCAATCCTCACTTCCTCATCCCACTCAATACTAAAAAAATGTTTTTTGGATGGTCTTTTACTTTAAGACTTTGGTGGCATGAAACGGTAGGGGACAGTGTGAAATATATATTAGTACAGCTTCTTAACAATACTAATTACACATGCCATTTTGGGGTTAAAAGGAGAGATAACACCAACAC